AACCCTCCATCTTCCTCATCCTCTTCCTCCTCCTCCTCTCCTCTGTCCATGTCTGGAGGAGGTGAGATGCTGGGGCTTATGAAGGAGAAAGGATGGAGAGCTGAGAGGATAAGTGGAGTCAAGAAGAGCGAGAAGAAGACCACATTTCAGAGGCCAGGAAAACGGCCCGTTAAACGTCCTGCACGGCACCTCAGTGATGAAGAAAGCTTGGATGAACAGGAGACCCTGGGTACCTGTTTTAAAGACTCTGATTATGGTGAGTTCACAGATTCATCGACATTTACACCAGGGTTGCAAACATACACAGCAGAGAAAATGCTGCGATCCTATGTGATTCTGTTTAAAGGAGAATTTCCACCTTCTTCTACAGTGTATCCATCACTAGAATCTGACGAGGAGGATCACATAAGCAGGTCTAAAATGAAAAGAAAGCGAAACTGGGATGATACACCCTGGAGTCCTAAAGGTAACTGTGTTTTTGATTTATGATTTTTTAGCATTTCATTTCGAAACGGTTCTAAACATCATTTCTTCACACGTCCTCAGCCCGCGTGACCCCTACACTGCCCAAGCAGGAGCGACCAGTGAGAGAGGGTGCAAGGGTGGCATCTGTAGAAACGGGGCTTGCAGCTGCTGCCGCCAAACTGGCACAACAGGTGAACTTTTGTCCAGAACTTCTATAGATGTGGACTATTTCATACCATTACTTTGTGTGTGCACCTTTAAAAGTGTTTGTTTTATTTTTTTCAAATATCCTTTGAATGTAGTCAATATTTGTTCATGTCTTATAAATTTTTGTAAATTTTACTAAAATGGCATGTAATTTTAGTCTTTGAAAAAGAACATTTTAGTTGACAAGGAAATTTAAAATTAAACCAAATATTAACTTTTTAAATATATGACATTATATATATATTAATTGAGGAATAAAAACATGTATAAACATATGATCTCTTGAAATAAAATTGTTTTAGTTGTTTGCTGTCCATGTTTTATACATTTTAGTTCGTTCTTGGAGAAAAAGTACTGTTGGCATGTTTTAACTATAATTGGATTTTTAAAGCATCCAATTATCATATTTTTTTCTTAAAAAAAAAGTATCTACAAAAACATTGCTATTAAACACACTAAATTTTGTAGTCTGTAAGATTTTTGTAATGTTTCTGAAGGAAGTCTCTTGTGCTCAAAAATTCAGCATTTATTTATTTAAAAATACAGTAAAAATAAGTAATATTCTGTAATATTACTACAAATTAAAATAGCTGTGCTGCATACCATTTCTGTGGAATCCTAAACATTTTGTATATAAACATTAATAATATTTTTGTTGTATTTTTTCATCAATGCTATAATTTATTATACTTAAAATTATTAGATTTTTGTCATTATGCTATTTTTTTCTATTTTGGTCTTGTCTTTATCATTGACAATCAAAAAACTCTTTTTGTCAGTATTTTTCTTGACAAGATTAACACTGAGCTAAACATCTTGTTACTTTAATATCAGGAACAGCAGAAAACCATAACCAAGAGAAAATACACCAAGAAGAAGGTCCCTCAAGAGAAAGTACATTCTGCAGCTGCCCAACTCCAGCGCCAGCCGGACTCTGCGCCCGTGTCTCCTCCTCTGCCCTCTGAGCCTCCTGTGGACTGCGTAGTTGAGGAGAGGAGAGTGGAGGTGTACTCTGCCAGCCTGCTGGACCACGAGTACACAGCAGGACCTGGTCCGTTCAGCCCAGGGGGCCCAAGAGGAAGTGGTGCCATGGCCCCTGGCGTGTTCCTGACTTCAAGACGCTCCTCACTCTCTCCCCAAAACAGCAGCAGCTACTCTCCCTCTGCCCCCTCACCCGGAGGGCTGGCTACTTCAGCGTCAGCAGTAGCATGTCAAGGTAACTGGAATTACTGAACGTTACCTATTACAGGTTAAGTGTTCGGAATCACGCTGAATTTTTTCACTCTTCTTTCTCACAGGAAAACGTCCAAAGAAAGGACTTGCTACGGCTAAACAGAGACTGGGAAAGATTCTGAAAATACATCGAAACGGCAAGCTTCTCCTGTAGTTTGATAGTATGGAGAGGAGACTGCAGGGAACAATAGAGGAGGAGAAAACGAATAAGGATGAGAGAGGACCTGAGTGATTTTGGTGTTAATTTATGTGACTGTTTTATGGTTAATGTTCTGCTAGCCAGGTTTTTATTTGCATCATCGGGATGAAAAGTGAAAAGAACAGCAACTTGCTGTGATAAATTCAATTGAAATCCATTTAGCATGGTGTTTTAGAATAGAAATACTATTTGAAAAACAAATAGAGCTAAACAGACGGATACATTAATGGAGTGATGACTGTATTGCTAATTGTTTTTCCATTTTCAGTGCTCCACCTCTGAAAACAAACTGCGTACATGTACACTCCCCTTAAACCCTGTTTGTTTCATAGCCGAGTTTGTTTTAACGTATATTTAAAAAAAAATTTTTTAAAAACCCCCGCTGAATGCTGTGGAGCACTTGATGTTAGATCAAATTGCCTAAAGCCATTGCAAACAAAAAGATTACATTGTTCAGAAGGTTTGTTTGTAAAACTGACTTCCCAAATAATAGGATTGAGGTTGTTGTTTGGCCTGAATTGTCCCATGGATGAGAGGAGATCCAATTCTTTAGTCATTACCTCAGCAATTTGTAAATGTCACACTTTCTCATGGCTATTTGTCCTGGTCCAATCTCCTCCTGAAGTCATGCATATTATTAGTTTACATGCTTCATTTAGTATCTGTTCATATCAAATTATTTTATACCATAGAAGGCAATTTGATACACAATTGACTGTAATTGCTGTAGATGAAGTCCTGTAATAATGTCTCTGCTTGTTGAAATGTTTTTACAGTAGTGTACTAACACATTTTTATCAACAAATGTATTTTAGATGTGTATATACTTTAAGTTCGTCTTGTTTTAATTGTTTTCCACTTAGCATGGGCAGCATAATATCCTGCCACCATTTGGCCAGGGTTGTCTTTCCCAGCTATAGTTCAGCTCCATGTTGTAGAGGTTGAGTTCAGTGGTGGGCACATTTGAGTAATTGTAAAGAACACAGAAATGGACTTGGAGCAGTTTGAGATCATATGGGTGGTTCTGTAGGTTCAGTGTACATATTTGGTTTTTTATTATTATTAACGTTTTTCTTTAGGAAGAAATTGCATTGGAATCTTTCTTGAAACACCTTGTACAAAAATACATGTTTTGGGTAACAGTAACCGCATAAGAGTTGTTTAGTCGGTTTTATTTGTATAGGATAATTATGCTGTTCTTTTTCATTGAAGCTTATGATATTAGCAATGTGATGAAGTTAATGTATTCTATTGCTATTTCAATGTTATTGTTTATTTTATCCCTCCCCCCACTTATCAATAATATTAATTTTAATGTCAATATACTTTAGTTTTGCTTATATATATATACACACACACACTCCATTCTAGAAGAGTTTAATGTAACATTTTCTTGTAATTTTATGCAATGGCAACAATATTTTTTTAGTTTTCTCCTTTGACCATTATGTCTATAATCAGCACCAAAAATATTGATAAATCAGTGGGCCAGTGTAAATATTATTTGACTTTTTAGTTTTTTCCTAATACTTTAGTTTTGCTTATATATATATACACACACACACTCCATTCTAGAAGAGTTTAATGTAACATTTTCTTGTAATTTTATGCAATGGCAACAATATTTTTTTTGTTTTCTCCTTTGACCATTATGTCTATAATCAGCACCAAAAATATTGATAAATCAGTGGGCCAGTGTAAATATTATTTGACTTTTTAGTTTTTTCCTAAAAATGTCACAGATTGTCATCATGCCATCCACATGTAATTAGAAACTTGTTTTGAGGTTTGTAGAAATTTGTTTTTGAACGTAAAATAACGGAAGACAGTTGTTGGAATATTCTGGTAAAACTATTATTTTTAGACATTGTTTTCAGATGACTCTGAAATTGAAAAGGATATTTCTGTAATATTTTGAGTTTTTTGTACATTTATTTGATTTGTGATCCTCTTCACATCGTCTCTTAATGTTGCTACTTCCGCTCATATTTTACTAAACATCTGTGCCTTCAGTAAAGTCCCAAACATAGCAACCTCTCTTACTGAAACTGTGCATCTCTGCACATCTTTTGATACTAGATACATTAGTTTAATGGCAACACTTGTCTACCCAGACAGCTATTCAGGATTTCTGGAAATTGACAGTGAAAAAAGGGAAATGATGTGAAGCAAGATGTGCAACAAAGAAAGTGTTCAAAAACCTCAAAATATGTAAGAACGGACTTAAAACTCAGATTTACTTAAGTTATTTTCCTCTTTATCACCTGAAGTTAATTGTGTGCATTTTAGGATTTATTTATCTTTGAACCATTTTCTTGTCTGTTAAAGTTTATTTTGAATTCATGTTGATCACACAGTTCCTCTCAGGGTTTATTTTGTATCTAATATCATTTTGATAGAATCGTTTAAAAAGAGCAACAGTAGTGTTAGGAGTTCACATTCACGACCACTTAAAAACCAAGTCAGATTTGAACCCATTTAATATTTATAATTGGACGTTGTCTTTTGCTATTGTCACCACCTTTGGTTTTTGAAACGGCTTGAGCAGACTTTTCCAAATGACCTCTATTAAAAGATATTTTTAAAAATCGTTTGCATTTTTGTCATTGTAAGCCTATTTTCCTCTGCAAGTGTCAAGCGGTCTCTCACGTGCTTACTGGGTCCGCATTTACCCGCGAACAAGCTTCTTTGTCTCTTTCAAGAGTTCAGAATTCTATTGTGCGCCAGACGTTAAAAAATAATGAACCCATGAAAAGGGAATGAACGGCACAAACGGATTTAGTCACGTGATTTAAAGCCGCATCTCTGTTGCCATAGTAGTGTCAATGGCGGGCAGCGATTGGCTGAGGCCACGTCTCAGTCAGCCAGTCAAAATGCGCGCTTTTTACAAACTACCCCGGAAGTCAGCAGGCCAGGCTAGTTGTTTTCTAGAGCCTGGGCCAGGGGAGAGTGGCTTGGTGTGGAAAGTCCTGTAGCTTAAAAATAACATAAAAAGCGACAGTTTTTGGATACTGTCTAAGCCCAGTCCTTGGTACGTATGTGTGGGTTAGTACAAATATATATCTGCCGTCTTGTTCACTTTATACGTAACTTTATACATAACAACACGGAGTACTCCGAGTTTGCGTATTTGCAGTTTACTGACGCTCTACACGGTTAGTTTTTAATGATTGAGCCTACATGTCAACGTTTTGAGACCACTCAAGTGCCGTCTTGTTTATAGGCACTGAACCCCTCTCGAGATGGCGTCCTCTAACCCTCTGAGACCCCAGAACAGAAGTCAGCAGGATCAAGCAGGGTGAGTGAACCGGTCATGAATCTTTATATCAGCCTTCTCCTCCACAAGTAACATTGTCTCAGTCTCTCCTCCTTAAATGAATCAAGTTATGCATTTGACAGGAGCTATTCAGAATGTTCATTTTGCTTTGAGCAATTTTAGGTACCCCTCACTACACCTGTCAAGAAATATACATTTCACTCAAAACTAAAGAAATATGTCAAATAAATCATGCAAATTAGAACAAAACATGATTTGCTACATTGTTTTCTTAACAGTTAAACACATTTTAGTGTGTTTCAAAATGTATTGTAGTGAATCTCGTATTATCTTTCTCTAAACATTTCATTAATCATTTGATTTGTTATCAAAAATGTTTCGTTTAGGAAAAAAAGTCAAGGTATGTCCATGCCACAAAAAAATAAATGAATAAAGTAGTGACAAATATAAAAAAAATATCAGAGTTATGCTTTTTCAGAACAATTAAACGCATTTTACCCTCTAATTTGCATTACTGTAGTGGATCTGATATCGTCTTGCTCCGTTTTTGAATAATTCATTAATCTTTAAAAAAAAATTTTTTTTATTAAAACCAATAATTAGTTTAATGACTGAATAATTCATGTAAGCATCAAAACTGGATAACCGTACAGTGATGCTGTGGTGCTGATTTCTGATCCATTATTTTCAATGCCATTAGGATCTGGAAGAATCAGGAGTTGAAGACAAAAAGTGCTTCCTCTAAAAGAGGATCTGAAAATTTGGACCCCAATGCTTCTGGTGAAACTGGAAAAGGAGTCGGTAAACTCAAAGGCATCAGCAGGCTTCCTGTCCTTGCCAAATCTCTGCAACCAGCCCTAAGTGAGCTCTCCCAAAATCCCAGTCACAACAGCTGGGAACAGAGGCCTCTAACAGTAAGGATACACTTAAGTGTTATTTTAGTATTTTTTTATATAGTCTTATATATTTTTTATGAATATTACAATTAGCTTTTATTTTCTTTTTTATTTTAGATTTTTTTTTTTTTTGTAATGTGCTTTTGTCATTTATTTCATTTAAGATTTGTGTATAGCTTTAATTTAATTTTTCATTTTCATTCAGTTTTAGTCATTTTAGTACTTAAAAAAACTTAAACGGACATTTCCTTGTCAACTACCTGAAGTACGTTTAAGTTCTAATTCTATTTATATTTTATTTCAGGTTTTTTTAATCAAAAATTATTTATTTTTTTCAGAGTAAAGCTCAAAAAAAAAGGACCTGCACCAAACCTGTTCCTTTCAATTTGTCCCAGTCACGCACACACAGTCAGAGAAACTCAGGTGATCCCCAGGGAAAAGCACCCCTGATGCCTTCTACTCGACTAACACCAGGGGCAAAAGTGATGAACTTGAATCCAAGTGCCAAAACTAAAACTCCAAGCCATAAAGCTACGACACCAGGTGTCCTCAGGGCTCAGGCCAACAAATCACAACGACTGCAGCCTGGTAGTCATGTAGAATACATGGCATCAAATAAAGATTCCACTGATGTTCACCCACCTTCACATGAATGCGGATGCTGTAGTCACACCGATTTAAGTTCACGTTTAGGTAGCATCACTCTTAAACAATCTAAGCTTCCCGAAGACTCGGGTTTGAGTCATTTATGTAAAACGTCACTCATTAAAGTAGATGTTAATTCCGATAATCAAGCATCAAAGGACAAGCACTGTTTCCCATCAACAACACAAAGGCATGTAATCACTGAAGGTGAGTGACATAATGTCAAATCTTTTCTTATTGTGTCAATCAAGTCCATGTTCAAGTTCGATCTCCACTGTATTAATAGTTCTTTGTTTAATTTAGCCACTGGTTGTTTATAATTGATGTATGTAACTATGAGTGCAGGATCATAATCAAATCTTTCATCAGCTGTGCACAGTGTCCTCACATGTGAGGGATCAAGTGCTGTTGGAGCACAATGCATGATGCCACGTTTATCTACCTGCCCCCCTGGACCAGGAACCTCCAATAATCTGGTTAGGAATTGTAGAAAATCTCAGTAATAAAACCAAAATGTTTACTGACCCTTTATGATGATCATGACCGTTGTCTTTTTAGTCTAGTATGTGCTCTGGTGCTCATATATTTTGATCTTTTAGCCTCAAAGAGTTGTGAAGAAGCGTCATGGCGTTGATGTCACCACAGGTTAGTTCATTTTCAAAGACTCCCAACTTTTCTCATTGATCACAGAGTGTAAGCTTTATAGTTCTCCTTTCATCTCAAGACAAGGCTGGGCTGTTTTCCCCTGACCCTTCAGCACTACGTAGTATTCTACAGAGCGATGGAACGAGACTGGGGGAGCATGTTGGAGCAACACCCAGAGCATCAGCCTGTCCTACTGGCAGAGGAACCTCTATTTATTCTGTGAGTGCATTCCTTTGTTCAATGTCCATTCACACATTGATTATGATATTTTACTTCTGAATGGTCAATTTAGGCAGAAAGAAGATGTAAAATAGAATAACTGATTTTTAATAGTGACCTTGTCCACTTTAGGCTCAAAGAGTACCTGCCAAAAAGACTCAAAAAGAAGCTCCAGCAGAGGCCAAAAGCCCTACAGGTATTTAAAGTTGATTTTTCAGCAGCCATTACTCCAGTCTTCATGATTCTTCAAAAATCATTCTAATATGCTGGTTTGGTGCTTAAGAAACATTTATTATCACTAGTAAATGGTTGTGCTGCTTAATATATTTTTTTTCTGGATGTTTTTGATGAATAGAAAGTGTTTGAATAAAAATGAAGACTTTTAAACAAATTGTGTTCATTAATTTGTGTATGGTTTGTTCCTGCAGGAAGTGCCTTCTCTCCTGATCCATCAGCGCTCCGTGGTATTCTACAGATCAATGGAGCAACACCTCATGCACCGACCAGCCTTACTGGCAGAGCTACTTCTGTTTACTCAGTAATGCTCAGTTCACATTTGTTGTCTTAAAATTTGAATTTGGAATGCTAAAAAATAAGGTTTGAAATACCTTGTTCACTTTAGGCTCAAAGAGTGCCAGTTAGGAAGCCTAAAACGGATGAATCGGCAGCTGTCAAAGCTCCCGCAGGTAATCTAGCCCATTAATTTAGCAGTAAATGAAGTGTATACACTTCTGTTCAAAAATTAATACTTTGATTCAGCATGAATACATTAAATGCATCAAAAGTGACAGTAATGACATTTAAAATATTTTAAATGAATGCTGTTCTTTTGAACTTTCTATTTAAGAATCCTGATGAAATGTACAATGGTTCCCACAAAAATATTAAGCAGTGTTTTCAAAATTAATAAATGTTTCTTGAGCCACAAATCAACATATTAGAATGATTTCTGAAGGATTATGTGATACTAAATCCTTGAGTAATTGCTGCTGAAAATTCAGCTTTACAATCACAGGAAAAAGTTACATTTAAAATAGAAAATAGTTATTTTAAATTGTAATATTTCACAATAATACTACTTTTAAAGCATTTTGATCAAATACTGTAAATGCAGCTATGTTGGGCATAAGAGATGTTACAGCACCACATACAGACTAGATTTTATTATTCAGTTTATTATTTTCTCCATAAAATTTATATGAATGTCATGTGATCCAAAAAAATCTTCCTTTAGGAAGTGTTGTGTCCTTCTCCCCTGACCCGGCGGCCCTGCGCAGTATTCTACTGAATGAAGGTGTGAGGGCTGGTGGAGCAACACCCAGAGCTTCCACCTGTCCCACTGGCAGAGGAACCTCAATTTATTCTGTGAGTTTGCTCGGATGGATTCAACTTCCAATTGTGTGCTATAATGAAGGTGTTTTGCATCATGTACCTTTCTTTACTTCAGGCCCAGAGAGTCCCAGTGAAGAAGAATAAGCCTGAAGCCGTGGCAGCAGCAACATCATCTCAGTGTAAGTTTGACTCCAATGTTTCTTCCCCTTCAACATCATGTTTTCTACCCTTTAAACCAATGATTCTCTGCTGTGGTGCAGGCGCAGTTAGAACACCAGTGATGAAGTGGACACCGCAGCGGGTGGCAAAATCCAAACCACAGTCAATGGTGAGTATTCTCCTGTCTTGTCTCATTGTTTTGTACAGTATCCATTGCCATAAATTAAAGGTTTATTTTTTATTTTTTAAACCCAAATTTCACAAGTCAAGGCTATAGAAAGTCTTCAATATCTTCAGTTTTTTTCTTTGTGAGTGAGATCTGTTGTAAAACGTCTTGTGTCTCAGGTTTATGTTTACTGTTTATATTTACAGAGGAAGCTTTGTACTACCCAAAAGATGTCCAGTTTAAGGGGCTCCCCAGGTTTGCGTGAATCTCATGACCCAAGCACTGGACTCTTGGTGTGCCAGAAGGTAAAACAGCCCCATAATGCAGAACCCTTGTATTTTCTTACTTTATCTACACGATAAAATGTCAGGTTAACACTAGGTGTTGAATGTGTTATAGGGGAAGGATGTCGTTCAAAGGTTATTTGAGGACCAAGAGCAGATGGACGATGACCAGATAGGCCAAGATGACGTACAGTTACTGAACAGCCACCAAACTGTATGATTGATTTAACTCTAAAACATTAATTTATGCATCACTGGTCAGTTTCTTGATGGCCTAAAAGTAATCTCACATGACTTCTCTCCATGCAGACTGAAGCACAGTCAACAATTAAAGCAAATTCTGATTCAAATCATTGTCACACCGAGAACGAAGGCAAGAAAACAGTCCAGCCTTTCATACAAGCAGCACACAGAGGGTCAGTCATTGTTTTCTCATCAAGCCAAAGACTTGGATCAGACCGGCCTCTGAAGAATCCTGGGATAAGTGCTCCTCTGCAGCTCTGTTTAGGCCAGTTTACATCCCATAATGCACTACCACAGCAATCAGACCAAAGTAAAGAATCACAGCTCAATCCCAGCTTAGACCTGCCTAAACAAAGCCAATCTAAAGGTAACCATTCCATCCAAAGTGAACCTAAATTGAACCTTTTTTTCTGTTTTCTGTTTTTAAATGACCATATCTGTCTAATGTTGTAATTAATGATCCTTAAGCAGACATTTTGCACATCCTGAAGACTTTTAAGCATTTGTAGTAGTGCTTACTGCATTAAATGCATTTCCACATCTGTCTGTAGCTCCTGCTGTCAAGCAGTCTACCGCTATGTCTGCTCTGCGGCGGCGTCATACTCCTCTGGAGGAGATGTTTCTGGACGAGGAATGTGCTGCGTACACCTCTCGCCTGCTGTCCTGCCCACTGCAGCCCCGCTGTGTCAACCCGGTGGCCGCCACACTTCTGTTTCAAGACTCTACTGTGAGTGATCATTGTGTTTTGAATTGTGCATTGCACACTAAACCGGTTGCCAAGGTGAATGGCTGTTGATACATCTTATCTCTCTCCTCTACAGTGTTTTTTACCCATTGGCCTGTCTTCTATACGTCTGAGTCCTGTCCCTTCAGGTTCTTTTATCAGAGCATAAAACACATTGCACATGTCAGTCTGTGTATGTAAGACTGTCTGAAACCGTATTTCTAGTTGCACTTTTGATATGAAATGTCATAGTCAGATTCCACAAGCAGCAAAGTATTGGACGGGCACAATATTTGGTGAGATTCACTGTTGACAACATGACTGAATGCAAAATTATCTTTAAATAGTCAACATTTTTACACTGAATTGTCACTGACTGAAAACACTGAGCTTTCCACTTGTCTCTTGTATAAAGTGTATAATAAATCTCTATATAAACAGTTTTACATTAAGATTTGTCTTTATAAATTTCAGTTCTTTTTTTCCTGAATTGTACTATTACAATATTGTAGATGTCCTTTATGAAATCGTTTAATATTATTTGGTGCTCAAGCTTTAAAACACTAAAATATTTGACATAAATTTAATTTAAAATTCATTAAGAATATTCTTATTTTGAAGAGTAAAAGATCTGATTTGATCAATATCTGTATTATATAAAAGTATATTAGAACAAATTATTATATTTTGTAATATTTATATATACTGTAAATTTATAAATAATGGTTTTCAATCAAAAAGCTAAATAAATAATTAAATTAAAGTTAAATATTACAAATTAATACTAAAATAAAACATGACATTAAGACATGGTAAACTTTATCTTTTTTTTCTTTTTATTAAGCATGTAACCTTTGCTGTGCAATTCAAGTTGATACTTTATATTTAGCTGAGTCAAGGGGTGTGTGACTGCGGTGTCTGTGTTTGTGAAATGAAATCCAGGGGGTGGGCACGTATTGCTGGAACTCCGTCCTATTAAACCCTTCCCTCTGGAGCCCCTTGCTTTGAGAGACGGTGCAAACGCATCTTTCATTCGCCTCCTTTTCCAATTTCCTCTGCCACCAATTTCTGGAATACCTGAATCATGGCTAACATAAACACAGCTGGGGTCGATCCGACAAAGATGGGGGTCGGACGGGCCATTGCTGTACTGACGTCAGGTGGTGATGCCCAAGGTAAGCAGAAAGTAGTGATCTGCCTCTTAGACTTTGTGCTAGTTCCTATGGTGGTCTCCAAGAGGGTGTTCAAAGAAATGCCTGCATGGATAATTAGATTCTAGTGAATTTGGTGCAATTTTTGGAATATCCCTGTATACACAATAAGAGCTTTTCCGCCTCTGATACAGTATTCATATTGTTATAGACACTGTTTTTATGTTCTAAGTCAGGTGACTCTCTGATGTTCTCTATGGTTTAAAACTATCATGAATAAACATGAGCTAAACTTTAACTTTTGAAAATTAATTTCTATCTGTCCTATTAAATTTAAAATTCAAGGAGTTCAAATTTAAGAAGCTTAAGCAGAAAATAGAACAAAATGTACTGATAAAAAGAAATCTAGCATTTTGGTTTGCTCTGGTCCGTTAAGGTCAATGCTCTTGTAGCCTTTAGCTTTAGCCTGTAGCTCTTGTCCCCGTCTTTCCATAATTGAAGGCTAAATTTATCTCCAGTGACCTTCTTCAGAAATGACATGAGGTTATGGAGTGTAGCAGGCTTTTCCACAGCTGCTAACTGTTGAAACTAGAGACACTGAACTGCGTTTGTACACAACACCGTCCGAACACTTACAGCTTTAGTGCTGAGCTCACAGAATTAAGTTATCTCAGACACTCTTGTTCACATCATTCCACAATGCGGTCAAGTAATGAAATGTCATGAGGAGTACCTCTCTGTACTTTCCTAGAAGCCCTGTGTATCCTTCTGTATATGATATGTTTTCTTGTCTATTGCAGGGATGAATGCAGCTGTGAGGGCCACTGTCAGAGTCGGCCTTTACACTGGAGCCAAAGTCTTCTTTGTCCATGAGGTACGTTATTATAAGAATATTAACGAAAATGGCCATGCCAATCACATCTGTTAACATTGTTGCTGATGTCATGTGCAGGGATATCAGGGATTGGTTGATGGAGGGGATCACATCCGTCCTGCTACATGGGAGAGTGTGTCCATGATGCTACAGCTGGTGCGCTTTCAGCTGCTGGAATTTATTCAATTCAGTTCATTATTAACTTAACTTTTTAAGTAGTGTTGTGATTGTCTGTCTGAAGGGTGGCACAGTCATTGGCAGTGCCCGCTGTAAGGATTTCCAGACCAGGGAGGGGCGTTTGAAGGCTGCCTTCAATCTCGTCAAACTAGGTGTCACCAACCTTTGTGTAATTGGTGGCGATGGCAGTTTGACCGGTGCCAACATATTTCGCACTGAGTGGAGTGACTTGCTGAAAGATCTAATCAGCAAAGGTAAACAATCTGTATTGAAGGTACAGATTATTTCAACATGTTTTTTTTTATATATATAATTTTGACTGTTTTAATATATTTTACATGTAATTTATTCCTGTGATGGCAAAGCTGCATTTTCAGCATCATTACTCCAGTCTTCAGTGTCACATGATCCTTCAGAAATCATTCTAATATGCCGATTTGCTGCTCAAGAAACATTTATATCATCTTGTTTCTCAAGATACATTGTTTTTTTTATTATTCTCTGATGAATCGAAAGAGAAAGAACATTACACAAAATTATCTTTCTGCTCAAGAAACATTTATATCATCTTGTTTCTCAAGATACATTGTTTTTTTATTATTCTCTGATGAATCGAAAGAGAAAGAACATTACACAAAATTATCTTTCATAACATTATACATGTCTTTACAGTCATTTTTGATCTATTTAATGTACCTTTACTGAATACAAATATTTTTTTATTTGAATTTCTTTAAAAATAAATAAACAAATCTTTCTGTATCCCAAATGGTATATACTGAACTGAACTGACAGCCATATTCTCCATTTGTACACAGGTAAGATCACAAAGGAGGAGGCCAAGACTTCATCTCATCTGAATATTGTCGGTATGGTTGGTTCTATCGACAATGACTTCTGTGGAACGGACATGACCATTGGCACAGACTCTGCCCTACATCGTATCATTGAGGTGGTGGACAGTATCACCACAACAGCACAAAGGTCACAAATATTTGCAGTTTATCAAATTAGCTAAGATCCTCAGTGTTCTGTTATTTTGCTTTGGCATTTGTTCCTACATTGTGACCTCTGCTCTCACCCACAGTCATCAACGTGCTTTTATCCTAGAGGTCATGGGAAGACACTGTGGGTAAGAATGTGATTGTGTATGTATGCTTATACACTGAAGTGAGGATACAGTATGTGTGCAACAGAACTGATATTGAGACCAGACCCCTAATACCTAGATCATATGGTTCACATGCCAGAATCTCACATTTAATTAACTGAAATGATCTTGCATTTATTGAGCACAATATATATATATATGTGTGTGTGTGTGTGTGTGTGTGTGTGTGTTTCAGTTACCTGGCTCTGGTTACTGCTCTTGCGTGTGGTGCTGACTGGGTGTTTATTCCTGAGATGCCTCCAGATGATGGATGGGAGGATCATTTGTGTAGAAGACTCACTGAGGTACTAAGAAATTGACAAAATGCAAGAAATGTACACAGAAAAAAAATTATATAGTTGTCACATAGTTTTACATCCTTGAAATACACTAACGTTCAAACGTTTGGGGTTTGATTCGAAAAATTTTTTATTTATGTTTTTGAAAGAATTCTCTTATTCTCACCCAGGCTTATTATTACAAATATTATTACAGTTTAAAATCAAATTTTCTATTTCTATTTTAATATATATTAAAATGTTTGTGTGTGTGTGTGATGACAGAAGCTGAATTGTCAGCAGTCATTACTCCAATTTTCAGTGTCACATGATCCTTCAGAAATCATTCTAATGCTGATTTGCTGTCCGAGAAACATATAAAAAAATATTTTTTGCTGCTTAATATTTTTGTGGAAACCGTGATATATTTTTTTTCAGGATTCTTGGATGAATAGAAAGCAAAAAACAGCATTTATTTGATATATAGTTTTTCTGTAATAATGTAAATGTCTTTATTGTCACGTTTGATCAATTTAATGCATCACTGCTAAATAAAATGAATAATTTCTTCTTCTAAAAAATTTTATCTTACTGACCCCAAACCTTTGAAAAGCAGTGTAAATTTACTGGAAAAGCAAAACTGTAAATTAATAATAACTTGTCAGAAGACATATTTTAGTACTTTTTTTCATGCATTTTTCTTGTTGGTTTGGAAAAGTCCAAAAATAGATCAATTAAGAGGAAAAGTTATAAATAAATGCAGTAAAGAAAAAAGAGAATTAGTTTAGTTAAATTTTTCTTTAAACTATGGGAAAATAGCTGGTTGTTTGAACCATAACTCTAACAAAAATTGGTAAGGTTTGTGCATCAAGAAAAATTTCAATATTTTGACTGAAAAACAAAACAAAACATTCATAATGATTGATAATTTTGTCTCTCCTCAAACAGACCAGAAAGGCAGGTTCTCGTTTGAATGTGATAATTGTGGCCGAAGGAGCAATCAACAAAGAAGGGAAACCAATCACCTGTGACCAGCTAAAAGATGTAACTTAACCCCTGACCATACTATATAACCCATGCTCTTGAAACAGATGCTCTAATATAGTTTTGTAAACGTTCGCCTATAAGTGCACTTTAATTATGCTTATCTGTTCACCTACAGCTGGTGACAAAGAGGCTGGGCTATGATACTCGTGCCACTACCCTCGGACATGTGCAGAGAGGTGGCACCCCCTCAGCTTTTGACAGAGTGCTAGTGAGTAGTCCCTCTTCTCATTTTGTCACTTTTCGATCATCTGCACCATTTTTATTTCATGAGAGTTTAAATGTGTGTGTTTATTATATGTCAGGGCAGTAGGATGGGTGTGGAGGCTGTAATGGCTCTGCTGGAAGCCACTCCAGAAACTCCTGCCTGTGTGGTCAGTCTCTCTGGGAACCAGGCCGTCAGACTCCCCCTGATGGAGTGTGTGCAAGTGGTGTGTATAAAGTACATACATTTTAGATGTGACCTAATTTAAAGGGGTCATATGATGCTGCTAAAAAGAACATTATTTTGTGTATTTGGTGTAATGAAATGTGTTTATGCGGTTTAAGGTTAAAAAAAACACATTATTTTCCACATACTGTACATTATTGTTTCTCCTCTATGCCCCGACTTTCTGAAACGCGTCGATTTTTACAAAGCTCATCGTCTGAAAAAGCGAGGTGTGCTCTGATTGGCCAGCTATCCAGTGCGTTGTGATTGGCCGAATTCCTCAAGCGTGTGATGGAAATGTTACGCCCCTCACCATATTGTGATGCCTGCGGCAAACACTTGTGACGACCTCCAGGCTGGACTCCGCTTCGTCCATGGTGAAAGCCGATCCGGCAATCCACAGCGCGAAGTTGAAGTATTTCCTCAGCGACCAGCACGGATCAGCTCTAGGCATGACAAAGCGATATCGTCCTCTTTTGGAAGGCCAAACAAAGTAGTTTCGCTTTCACAACGAAACACACAGCACCATGGCAGCGGCGGCAACAACTATACTACAGCGAGAATAAAAGTTACACCTTCTTTCTTTGTGTGAACATTTGGGTGGCGTTATGCAAATCTTCCCACATTGTGACGTAGATATGTGGGGGCGTGTTAGAACGAGCCGTTTTAGGTAGGCGTGGTTGACTCTTAACTTTTATAAAGAATATCTCTTTGGATTTGAGACTTTAGTCTTTGCAACTTTACAGTTCTTCTTTATGCACCAAGAGCTTGTAACATTCCAAAGAGAAAGGAAAAATTGAAATCGCATCATATGAGCCCTTTAAGATTTAGAATTTACTATGACAACAGGCCCCCCATCAAAAGTGTCCTCACTCTTTTTTTCTTCTTCTTTTCTTTCTCCTTTTTTGATACTGTTTTAGATGTAAACAGATTTAAATCGTCTTTAGTCTTGAGTCGTTCACAAGCTGCATACACAATATACACAGTATACTGCATAAAAGGAGCTGCTGCTTCGTTGACAAACGATAGGCATTTGCAAGTTTTGTTTCCTACTTTGGATTGTAGGTAAATACTCACCTCATCCAGTGCTGTTTTCTGTCTTTTAAAAACATCCTGGTACGTATTTCGGTGTGCGAATCTGCTGCAAACGATTCAGTGTGTGAGTGAACCGCTCGAACGAATCAAACTGAATCGCGTTTAACCGCTCAAAATAGTAATTCATTCGAGAATCTGGCATCATTCGTTCTCATTTTAAACAGCTGACGCCCCGACTAGGATTTGCAACACTTGTTCTTTTTCTTTTTTATTGTATTTATTTATACAATATATTATATATTAAATATATTATTCATAAAATTTTTCTTTTCAACATATAGACCAAGGATGTCACTGTTGCAATGAATGAGGGTCGATTTGACGATGCTGTTAAGCTCAGGGGAAGGTATGTTTGGAAATATCATACTTTTTTTGTTATTAAAAGAAACTTGTATAGTATCACTATTAAATTATTCAAACTCAAAAATGTCTGCCTGTGCAGGAGTTTTGAGAATAACTGGAACACATATAAGCTCCTGGCTCATGTGCGCCCCCCAGAGACAAAGGTGAGGAGATTCGGAAATAAAATTGAAAAAAAAAAGAAAGAAAATAATTTATATTTAAATAATGTTTTTTATAATTAAAAAAAAGTAATATTTATATAATAACATTGAGTATGACTTATAATTCATTACCTTTTTCTTCTTTTTAAAAAAAATATTTTTCTTATTTTTATCATGTGTTTCTTCTTTGTGTACCTTTTTCTTCATCAGAGTAACATTAATGTGGCTATTTTGAATGTGGGTGCTCCCTGTGCTGGCATGAACGCAGCTGTACGCACAGCTGTCAGGATCGGCATCATCCAGGGTCACAACATGCTGGCTGTTCATGATGGCTTTGAAGGTCTGGCTGAGGAAAAGGTAAGCAGCATTGACCAATTGAGTACCGATTCAAAGTTTGGGGTTCTGTAAAAAAAATAAAAAAATTCTGGCCACCAAGGCTGAATTTATTTGATAAAAATACAGTACAAACAGTAATGTTTTGAAATATTATTACAATTTAAAATATCTGATTTCTATTATAATATATTTTAAAATGTAAAGCAAAGTTGAATATTCAGCAGCTATTATTCCAGTGCCATTACTTCAGTGTTGCAGGATCATATAGAAATCCTAGTATTCTAATATACTGATTTTGTGCTATTAATATCTTATTCTTGAAAACTTAAAGAATAGCATTTATTTGAAATACAGTAGATGTCTTTTACAGTCAATTTTGAACAATTGAATGTGTCCTTGCTGAATAAAACTAGTACTTTCATTAAAAAAAAATCTTACTGACCTTAAATTTGTAAATGGTGGCTATGTAATAAAAACTATTATGAGGACATTAAAGCCATTGTAGTGTTGTCATATTCTGTCTTGCATAATGTTGTTAGATTGAGCCCATCACCTGGAACACTGTTGGAGACTGGACAGGGAAAGGTGGCTCTGAGTTGGGAACCAAAAGGTACTGATCACTCCTGTAGATATTCTTTATCATCATTTATAGTTCTGCAATATTTAAAAAGTTAATATCTTTTGTTTATGCAGAGTATTACCTGGAAAGTACATGGAGGAGATCAGCTTGAATATTGCCAAGTACAATATTCATGCTCTGGTCATCATTGGGGGTTTTGAGGCAAGTGATGAAATGTAATGATATTATATACAATACAATGCCTATAATATACAATATAATGTCCATGTCCTGTTCTGTTCTCCTTCTGTCCATATTCTGTTCAGGTCACATTAAAATTCACCTTTTCAGGCATTTTCAGGTGCATTGGAGATGGTTCAAGGCAGAGAGAAATATGAAGAGCTGTGTATTCCCATGGTGATCATTCCTGCTACTGTATCTAACAATGTGCCTGGCTCAGACTTCAGCATTGGAGCCGACACCGCCCTTAACACCATCACCACGGTTAGAGATACGGCACACACACTGTCTGGATGCACAGTATATAAATATCATAATGATTATCAGCCAATATTTGTAAATAATTTCATTAATTTAAAAAAAGTATTTAGATTTTTTTTAATTGATTTGTTTATTTATTTTTTATTTTTTTACTTTGACACAATCTAAAACCATTAATTTAACATCAAATCAAAATGTATTTATAAAGCACAATAAAAACAACAGTAATTGACCACTGTGCTGTACAAACCTTACTAAAAAGACATAGAAATAAATATAAACAGTTTTGACCGCAATGCACTAAAGAGGAGAAAATCAAAAACAAACACTGATAGGTGACAGATCCTTATACTCTAAGGACAGTTATAAGCCTTGGAAAAAAGGTAAGTTTTTAACTTGGATTTAAATTCTGGGAGACTGGAAGACTATTCCATAGTTTAGGCCCAGCAATTGAAAAGGCACGGTCACCCCTCAACTTCAGTCTAGATCTCGGGACCATCAACACTCTTTGCTCAGAAGACCTCAGCGATCTAACAGATGTATTTGGGTTTAAAAGATCGCAGAGATATTCAGGAGCTGCTCCACTAAGAGCTTTAAAAACAAACAGTAAAATTTTAAACTCGATTCTGTAACAGACAGGCAACCAGTGCAAAGAGCATAATACGGGGGAGATATGATCAAATTTGTGGGTGCCAGTCAAATGTCTGGCAGCTGCATTTTGAACCATCTGAAGTCGATTTATATTTGATTGACTTATTCCCATATAAAGGGAATTACAATAATCAGGCCTTGATGACACAAATGCATGGATCACTCTCTCGAACTCTTGAAACGATAAAAAAAACTCTTTGCTTTTGATAGCAATCTTAATTGGAAGAAACTGGATTTGACTACAGAATTTATCTGTTTATCGAACTTAAGTGCAGAATCGAAAGTAACACCCAAATATTTCACAGACAGTTTTCTGTAGGAGTCCAGATCTCCCAAATCACAATAGGGGATTTCCGAAGACCCAAACACAATGACCTCTGTTTTGCCCTCATTAAGATGTAAAAAAGTTTGAAGAGAACCAAGACTTAATATCAGACAAACACCTATTCAGTGATCCTAAGCCTCTTTTATAATTTTTCCTCAAGGGCAGGTAGATTTGGGTGTCATCAGCATAAAAATGAAATGATACCCCATGCTTAGTAAGGATGGACCCCAGAGGAAGCATATATAATATGTTTACATGGCGTTTTAAATCATGGCGGGGGAGGGCGTTTTCATACGCGTTTGGCCAATCAATGTCTACTTGCGTCACGATTAGTACCAGTTGTGCTGGTTAGACCCTGCTTCAGAGTAGGAGCTAATTTGGTTCTCGAAAAAGCAGTCCGGTACTAAAATCGCTCCCAGTTTCGGCGGTGCGAAAACGCCAAAAAGTGGGTAGTTCCACAATTAGTTCTGGTACTATGAAAAGGTTCCTGCGGTGCGAAAGGCCCTAATGAGAACAGAACAGGGGCCAAAATGGAGCCCTGGGGAACTCCAAAATGCAAGATGGAGCTAGATAAAGAAAAACCATCAAGACAAACAGAAAACATTCTCTCTTCAAGAAACCAGTCGAGAGCACAACTTGTAATGCCCACACATTGTTCAAGGCGTGATATAAGGATTCTATGATCGATAGTATCAAACACCGCACTTCAAGGGTTAGTTCACCCAAAAATGAAAATTAGGCTGCGTTTTACTCACCCCCGAGGCATCCTAGGTGACCTCATTCATCATTCGTCTGAAAGAAGAAAGTCATATACACCTAGGATGCCTCGGGGGTGAGTAAAACGCAGCCTAATTTTCATTTTTGGGTGAACTAACCCTTTAAATCTAATAGTAAAAGTATCACAGAGTCCCCTGAATCTACAGATAATAAAATATCATTCAACCCTTTTAAAAGTGCAGTCTCCGTGCTATGATGTTTCCTAAACCCAGATTGAAATTTTTCAAAAATACTATTTGACTCTTTAAAAAAAACTCTGCAGTTGTACTAAAACAGCCTTTTCCAGGGTGAGTAAAACGCAGCCTAATTTTCATTTTTGGGTGAACTAACCCTTTAAATCTAATAGTAAAAGTATCACAGAGTCCCCTGAATCTACAGATAATAAAATATCATTCAACCCTTTTAAAAGTGCAGTCTCCGTGCTATGATGTTTCCTAAACCCAGATTGAAATTTTTCAAAAATACTATTTGACTCTTTAAAAAAAACTCTGCAGTTGTACTAAAACAGCCTTTTCTAAGGCTTTTGAAAGAAAAGATAAATTTGAAATGGGTCTATAATTTGATAGGATGGTAGGGTCAAGATTTGATTTTTTTTAAGCAAGGGTTTAACAATTGCATGCTTTAGGTATTTTGGGACAGTCGCTGTAAGAAGATACTTGTTTATTATAACTAAAATACTTGGCCCAACAACATCGAAGACCTGAAGCAAGAACCGTGTGGGAATGATGTCTTGCGGACATGTAGTAGGTTTTAGCTGCTTAATAATATCTTGAAAGGAGTTTAAAGAGATTGTCTGGAATTCATTACAGGTAGAAGTACAAAGAGAAGGGTCTGACCAATCACAATTTGGAGGTATAATATGCTGTCTTATGTCAACTATTTTATCTGTAAAAAACTTAAGAAAGCTGTCACATACTGCAGGTGATGCATTAAAACATTATTTAAATATATTTTAATAACACTGTTAAATGTAATCTTTACCAAATTTTAAAATGAATGTCTGTTTTTCATTATGTACATTATAATGTTATGATGTCTGAATTGACTTACAGCATTTAAAATAATTTACAGTTTTATTCCTATTTACAGTGGGTACGGAAAGTATTCAGACCCCCTTAAATTTTTCACTCTTTGTTATATTGCAGCCATTTGCTAAAATCATTTAAGTTCATTTGTTTTCCTCATTAATGTACACACAGCACCCCATATTGACAGAAAAACACAGAATTGTTGACATTTTTGCAGATTTATTAAAAAAGAAAAACTGAAATATCACATGGTCCTAAGTATTCAGACCCTTTGCTGTGACACTCATATATTTAACTCAGGTGCTGTCCATTTCTTCTGATCATCCTTGAGATGGTTCTACACCTTCATTTGAGTCCAGCTATGTTTGATTATACTGATTGGACTTGATTAGGAAAGCCACACACCTGTCTATATAAGACCTTACAGCTCACAGTGCATGTCAGAGCAAATGAGAATCATGAGGTCAAAGGAACTGCCTGAAGAGCTCAGAGACAGAATTGTGGCAAGACACAG